GTTTTTTTACTCAAAGGACGACACAACAGCGAAAGCAACAAACTGAATCATCAGCTAAAGGTTTTACAAAGACCAGAGGAAGAGGAACAGAAAGAGAGAGGAAGAGGAAGAGAAAGGCCGCACGGATGGAAGGGAGGGGGAGATTGGAACGGTAGGAAGAGCAGATTTCACAATGTGGAGAGAACTAGAAGAACCATTGAAGGAAGCTCTGAAATGTGGGTCAGAAAACCAGTTGTGGCTTAAAGTCACATGGAGCTAACTCTGACCTGTGTTCACAATGCTAACATGCTAGCTCAATAGGGAAGCGCTGAATGGAAAAAGTTTGGCTCCTGTTGATTTAGATGACTCTGGAGAGAGAGCAGAGAGAGACCAGTGAGAGAGCAGAGAGAGACCAGTGAGAGAGCAGAGAGAGACCAGTGAGAGAGCAGAGAGAGACCAGTGAGAGAGCAGAGAGAGACCAGTGAGAGAGCAGAGAGAGACCAGTGAGAGAGCAGAGAGAGACCAGTGAGAGAGCAGAGAGAGACCAGTGAGAGAGCAGAGAAAGAGCAGAGAGACCAGAAAGAGCAGAGAGAGAGACCAGAGAGAGACCAGAGAGACTAGAGAGAAAACCTAAGAAAAGTACATGCAAAAGTAAACTCCTCTAGCTCAGTAATGGTTGTGTCACACTCGTCATCTGTGGATTTCTCTATAAAATGTCTATTTTGTGGTTTTTAAAAATTATCAATCATTCTAGTGTTTTCTTTTGGGTTCTCAGTCCTCTTTGTGGTGGATTTGCTCTGGTATCGTTGTGCGTAACATCAGCCTCATTTCCACTGCACAGAAACACGTCACGACACAGACTGGTGTGACAGAACGACTCGCCGTCCAACCCGCCTTGTGACCGAGCCTTTCCACATTCTAAAGAGCCGTGGAGCTGTGTTTGGGTGAGTGAAGCTCTGGTTTAAAATCAGACATTTCAGAGTTTCCCTTCCTTTTTGCTAAAGACACAAGGGTCTGCGTTCACATCAGCAGGATCCAGAGAGCGATAGTTTCACATAGAGGAGGAGCAGTTGAAACATCTTTCAATGGTAACTATGGTAACTGTGGTAACTATCAAAAGTCAGATTCTTGTCTGAGTTTGGCGATTATTTCTGATTCAATCCACATTAAACAAAAACAGAGAGTTTCACATCTTCTCTGTCATATACAGTATGGTCTCATTCTATGGTCTCATTCTTAAAGGGAGAGACCAGAGAGAGACTAGTGGGAGACCATAGCGAGACCAGAGAGAGACACCAAACACACACTAACACAACTGAAACTTCTGCTCTGCCCCTTCCCCTTCAAAGCCCTGTCCACTTGACCATCGACCCGCACAGGCGAGAGAGAGAGAGAGGGAAAGAGCACAGAAAGAGAGAGAGAGAGAGAGAGAGAGAGAGAGGGAGGGAAAGAGCACAGAGAGAGAGAGAGCACACAGAGATAGAGGGAGGGCACAGAGAGACAAAGGACAAACTACAGAGCTGGGTAAATACTGCATATAACCACAGGGGGCGCTGTAGACGCACACGAAACGACTGGAAACACGCTACGCTTTGTACACACGCGCAAAAGGCTCAGCGAAAGGTCACGCAAAGAAACGGCCTCACAGTGCTTCAAACACCAAGGAACTTTTTTGGCAGAAGATTATAAAGGACACAGACCACAGAAAACAGAGGAAGCTTCTCCTCCAAAAAACAGTTATTTTTTTTTCAAAGACGGTTTGATTGTTTGCAAGAGACGATTGATTGAAAAATGCAAGTGTACTTATTCGTTTCTATTATTATTAGTCTTATTACAATCTCAGCTGATATGTGTCGTTCACAGGAGCGAGAGGGAGAGGGAGGGGGGCGGTCGGCATGGAGACAAGACACTTTATTTTTTTAGCTTTTCCATACTGCAGGTGGTGCATCTAAAATCTGGAATCTGAATCTTACTGAAAGTGTAAGACAGGCTAAATCCAGGCTATATTCAAGTCAGAGAGAGACCACAGGGACTAGAAAGAGAGACCAGAGAGAGACTAGAGAGGGAGACTTGAGAGACCAGAGAGAGACCGGAGAGACAAGAAAGAGACCAGAGAGAGACCAGGGAGAGACCAGAGAGAGACCAGAGAGAGACCAGAGAGAGACCAGGGAGAGACCAGAGAGAGACCAGAGAGAGACCAGGGAGAGACCAGAGAGAGACCAGAGAGAGACCAGAGAGAGACCAGAGAGAGACCAGAGAGAGACCAGAGAGAGACCAGAGAGAGACCAGAGAGAGACCAGAGAGAGACCAGAGGGAGAGAGACCCGATGGTTGTAGTTCTTGGTTTTCTCTTTTGCTACAGTTGTATCGTTAGCTTTTGGGCTCATCCAAAAGCTAAATGCGTTGCTGTTGCTATGTTATTGGGATGCTATGCTCCGCTGCTACGCTAATGCTTCGATCTCTGGGTCCTAACGTAAGTTCCTAACAGTGATACTTTGAAGGTATAAATATTTGTTTCCATTGATTCCTTGTGAGTTTGTGAGCACCTCTGTCAGCCGACCTCCACGTTCCGTCCATTAATCACTTTTTTTTCCCCCGGCTCTAATTAAAATGAATGGTTTGTTTTTCGCCCACGTTTGCCGACCGCATTCTGGAAGGTAGGAGGGAGGAAAGGGGGAGTGATGGGGTGAGGGACGAGGGAGGGATGGGGTAGATGGAGATGGAAGAGTGCGGATTGTGTAAAAATATAAAGTGGAGGTGTTTTTGGTTCAGGGAGAATCCACAACGGAAAGGAACCAACCAGAACCAAGAACGAGGGTCTCAGGTCTCCATCGGCAGAAAACACAGATTTATAATGAAGATAATCATTTATTCTGTGTTCTGAGGGTAAATCATTTTCTGATTATAGAACACAATGTGGTGGTAGAGGTTCAAATGCCCGATACAAACACATGGATACTCTCAAAGAGAAGTCGGCCTTAAAGGCGGAAAATTACCCATTATTTTTGGCAATAAAAAATATATAATTCTGTTTACTTTCTCATTTAATGTTTTATTTAGAATGAGGGACCAGAGAGAGAGAGAAGAGAGAGACAAGGAAAAAGAGAAACCAGAAAGAGACCAGAGAGAAAGATTAGAGAGAGAGACCAGTGAGAGAGACCAGAGAGAGACGAGAAAGACAAGAGAGAGACCAAAGTGAGAAAGGAGAGAGACCATGTTGTAGCCAGCTGAACTCCATATAGACAAACGTTTGTAAAAGGCATTTGTTTTTCTAAGTATAATTTGAAGCTGGGAATTTGTAGTTTCTGTTTGTAGCGATAGGTTGGTTCGTTAAAACACATTATAATATTATACATACAAATATATGACTGATGGTGTTTGTTGTGGGTTCCTTTCCGCCGCGTTCAGAGGAGGAGCGCGATCACAGAATAAAGTCGTTTTTTCACAGTGTAAAAAGTAAAAACAACAGGAGCCGGTCGTAGTTTAACATTCAGGATTCAAGTTAGCATCATTAGCTAATTAGCCTCAGTCTCACTGAGAATTAAAAAGTTAGAAAACATTTGTAAAAATCAATAAAAAACACCATGTATAAGCCAATCAGCTCTTTGTCTCCGGGCAGATTTCACCCTGGCGTCCAATCACATTGGACAAGAGGGACAAAGCAACGAGAGCCGATTTAAACTGAGGATTCACATGAGAAAGAAACGTTAGTGGAGTTTTGGCTCCAGAGGAAGAGGAGGGGGAGGTTATGTTTGGTGCAAGAGCTGAGGGGGCAGCACCGAGTTGTGTGTGTGTGTGTGTGTGTGTGTGTATTTCACCTCTTTTTCACTGCTAATAATTGTATTTGTTTGTTTGCTTTATTCTTTTAAAACATTCTCAGGCTCCTCACACTTTTTTCATTAGCCCCTCCCCTCTCGTTAAGCCCCGCCCCTCCCCCATTAAGCCCAGCCCCTCAGTGCTGCTCCCTCAGGGACCTGTTTTGTCTCCGGAAACCAGGAAGAAGAGTTCAACATTCAGATCACAGCTCAAACCGGCTGGAATTGCTTTTTATATTTTCTTCTGAATCTGAGCAACAATATTTTATAAAAAAAAAAAAAATATTCATAATAATAACAGTGATAACTTTCTTCAAGAAATGTCCCCAAACCTTTTTTAAAGATTTGATTTTCTTCCATTTTGAAAAAGTCTTTTTTTAAGCCTTGATCACATCAAGAAGGTCCCTGTACCGTCGTCCAATACACAGTGACGTCTTCAAAGACACAAAAAACTAAAATGTAAAACCCACTGGCTCCGAGAGTCCTGCAGGAATTCTCTGTCGGCAAAAGCAGTTAGCGTTAGCATGAGCGTCTCTGAGCGTTAGCATCTCTGAGCGCCGCGTGACGAGGTTAGAAAAGGTTCAACTTTATCAACATTTAACACATGAACCAGAGGAAAAGTGCTGGAGTCGTACATCCGTCTGTGTCCGGAACACACCCAGAGGAGGAGGAGAGGAGAGGGGAATAAGAGGCCAGGGGTAGGAGAGGAGGAGAAGGAGGAGAGAGGTGGAGGAGGAGGAAGAGGAGAGAAGAGGAGGCGAGGGGAGGGAGAGGACAAGAGAAGAGAGGCCTGGGGGAAGAGGAAGAGAGAGGAGGACCAGCGCGGGGAGGAGGTCAGGGGAAGAGGAGGAGGTGGGAGGAGAACAAGGAGGTGAGAGGAGCAGATCTCCAATCTAGCAACATGTCTGTTATGCCCTGATCTCCTGCTCCCTCCACCTCCACAGCGCCCCCTGCCTTTAGTCTTGCGGCTGGTTTTGGCACAGTAGCGCGGTCTGGCTCAGTCTGGGTGCGTCTGGGTGGGTCTGGCTCAGTCTGGGTGGGTCTGGCTGGGTCTAGCTCAGTCTGGATGGGTCTGGCTCGTCTGAGTGGGTCTGGCCTAGTCTGGTTGGGTCGGACATTGGTCTGGGTGAGTCTGGCTCAGTCTCAGTGGGTGTGGCTCAGGTTCGGTGGGTGTGGCTCAGTCTAGGTGGGTCTGGCTCAGTCTGGCTCAGTCGTCCTTGCGCTCCGTGCCTTGTGTGATGCCGTTGGTGTAGAGGGGGAAGGGCAGTGTGGAGAAGAGGCTGTCTCCGGTGGTGACCTGCCCTCCCCCCGCGGTGCCACTGCTGAAGGTTCCTCCTGCCGCAGACAGACGGTGCACGTGGTGGTACAACATCTCCATCGGTGTCTTTGGGTCCAGACCGAAGCCGCCGCCATCTACAAAGTTCACCGCAGCGTTCGGCAAAAGGTTCCCCTGCGCCATCGCCAGAGTCATGTCTGCCGGGGCGTATCTGCAGACACCAGGACAGAGGAACGTTTAGGGTTCAACTCCCATCAGGGGCACAACACCAACGTCCAGTGAGGGTCCTTGGTAAAGACACTTCATGCTACTGCCCACCTCATCCCATGGAGATTACATCATCCCATGGAGATTACATCATCCCATGGAGATTACATCATCCCATGGAGATTACATCATCCCATGGAGATTACATCATCCCATGGAGATTACATCATACCATGGAGATTACATCATACCATGGAGAGTTAATTAAACAATGAGATGGCGGCTCAAACGTCGCCCTTGTCTGTGTCAGGTGCTGGGAACCAGAACACCTTGATGAGAGATGAACGACTGGAACAAAGAGAAAGTGGACGAAAAGCGAGAACAGGGCTCTGTTGGAATGCAACTACTCTATAACTCTAGTGCCACTGCTGTTAAGTTCTGCTTCTTTCTCCCATTGGTTCTTCCAGAACTGTTCAGGTTCTAGCCTTGGTGGGCCTACCCCTTGTTGTTACCTTGCCACTGACACTTTCACAGGTTGTGGAAAACCGCTTGCACACGTGGAGACCAACCAAGGAGATGCTCTGTCCTCACTGCTGTTCTGCTGAGGTCTGAACCCTTCAAGACTGGCTATGGATACCGCCTCAGGAACGGACCAAAGATCAGTCACCTCCTCTACATGGAGCTGTACGCCAAGACTCGAAAAGTTTAGCAGGATGATGACTTGGAGAACCAAGATAGTGCACACAGAAGGGATCTCACTCCCAGAGGGAAAAAAACTTTGGGGACAGTAACAAGTATCTCTGTATACCACAGGCAAATGGCAACCTTGGCAACAGACAACGAGGAATGAGGTGACTGCCAAATACCATCGTACGTTATATAGTCAAATACCTGATGGTCCCGGTGGTGTAGACTCTCTGTGCGCTCGTGCTCGTAGGCGTCAGACTGGCACTGACCCGGTGCACCAGCGGCAACACCACGTTCCCCTGAAGTCTCTGCAACGTCTCCAGGTCTCCGGAGTAGAGCACTGAGGGGGCGGGGCCAGATGAGGCGGGGCCCGAGGCAGAGTGGGCGGGGCTTGTGGAGGCCGTTGTGGGCGTTGTCTTGTCCCGCGGTGATGCAGACAGAGGAGGGGACAGCGGATCTGCGGAGGAAAACGACCTGCGTGCGCTGGCTCCGCCCCCTGTGGCTCCGCCCCCTCCATCGTTGCTGGGCGGAGTCAGAACAGAATCAGGAATGTTCTGACCCTGTGGCGATGGGAAGGCTTCATCGGGACTGTCGCTGGGTTTGGACGTCATACTGTAGGGAAGTTCGTTCCTGAAGAGAGAGACCAGAGTCAGAGACCTGAGAGGGACCAAAGTTAGACCAGAGAGAGAGGCCAGAGAGAGACCAGAGAGTGACCAAAGCGAGACCAGAGATAGAGACCAGAGAGTGACCAAAGCGAGACCAGAGATAGAGACCAGAGAGTGACCAAAGCGAGACCAGAGAGAGACCAGAGAGTGACCAAAGCGAGACCAGAGAGAGACCAGAGAGTGACCAAAGCGAGACCAGAGAGAGACCAGAGAGTGACCAAAGCGAGACCAGAGAGAGACCAGAGAGAGACCAAAGCGAGACCAGAGATAGAGACCTGCGTCAGAGACCAGACAGAGAACAGAGAGAGGCCAGAGAGTCCTGAAAGAGACCAGAGAGAGACCAGAGTCAGAGACCTGAGATCCCTCGGCTCCTGCAGAAACATTGAAATGGAACATATCTGTGGTTCGCACCTGGAGATCTCGCGGTTCGGCGGGTAGTTCCAGATACTGCTGTCGTTGTCGAAGTTGATGGGTTCTGCCATCTCTGTCTTGATCTTTAGCACAGAGGACGCCACCGCCGCCACAGTGGAGCTGGTGGGAGAGTTAGCCAGACTCTCGGCCAGCGTGGCGTTCTCTCCCAGAGGCACGGGGCTTGGCGACTCTGCAGACAGACGCATCCTTCGGCCACGCTCCCACTGTGGCTGCGATCTTCTGCGTTTGCGTCTGTTCCGCAGCTTCCCGTCGCGCTCCTCGTCCTCACGCTCCTCCTCAGACGTGGACGACTCTCTCAGTCTCGTCTGCACCTCCTCGCCATCGCCGTATCGCTCCACTTTGATGTGCAGCCCGCCCAGTGTTCCGAGGGCCGCAATCCCACCCAGAGCACTGAGACCCGATATCCTGGTGAGGCGCTCTGTGTTCTCGCCCGCCTCCTCCTCCTGCGCCTCCTCGTTCTCGCTCTCGTCGCTCTCCTGGCTGTCCACGTTGCTAGAGTGGTTCTCTTCCTCCTCCTCCTCCTCTGCCGCCGCCGCCGCCTCCTCCTCCGCTTGCTTCGGCTCAGGCTCGGCGCCGCAGTGGACTTGACGTTTCGCCTCCAGATCTTCGGTGTGCTCTGAGCGGTGGATGGCTTTTCCCTCCGACTTCTCGTTGTCTAGAAATAAAGAAAAGACAATTTATTACAAACTTGCAGAACACAAATTCACATCTTTTATCACAAATATAGGTTTGAAAATTGGTTGGATGAAGCAGACGCTTGATTTTTCTCAACCCTCTCTCACCATTAACACAATGCAAAGATGCAAAGGTGAGGAGGAGAAGAGGGAAGTAGGGCTGGGCGATTAATCGATTTTAATCATTAATTCGAGTTTTACATTTAGGGCGATTTCTTTTTTTTAAAATTCGATTTTTATTTTCTCCAGCGCAGAACTACAGCTCTAACGCGCTAACCGCGGGTCTATGGTGTTGAGCAGTCATTTTGAAGCTAACCTAATGCTAACAGTCTCCCTCTGGCCTGATGCTCGCTCTCACAGTTGGTGCTGTTGCAATAACACTTCAAACGTTCAAGAATCAGACTTTATTTAAATTGCCAGAACACACACACACACGCACGCAGGCTCCGGTCGCTATGTTCGTACGCCATGTTCGTACGCCACATCTTTCACGCTCTCTCACGCTCGTTATTCCAAAGCGCACTCCCGTGTCCGTGGCGCGCACACACTCGTGTCCCACTGAGCCGCTGCACTTTGGGGAAAGACACGTCTCACACATTGCTCTCATTGCTCTGATACAAACAACGTGTTCCCCGCTGTCTGTTAGCTACAGTAGCTGCTACAGTAGCTGCTACAGTAGCTGCTACAGTAGCTGTTAGCTACAGTAGCTGCTACAGTAGCTGTTAGCTACAGTAGCTGCTACAGTAGCTGTTAGCTACAGCATCCGAATGTAAACAGGAAGCTCGCACAATGCGGGAGTCACTGAAGTTAGTATTAGCGCCACCAGCTGGACCGAGCGTTGTACTACAGCACAGTTACTCAGGCACAGTTGAAAGAACAAGCATGAAAACCCGAGGAGGCTTTTGGAAAAGACTGTTACAACATTTCTATTTTGAGTAATCAGTTTTAAAAATGTGATATTTCATGTAAATAATGCATGTGTTTAATAGGATTGATATATTTGCGATGGGCCTTGTTTGTGTGATTTAAGTTATTTTGAAGGTGCATAGTGTCATTGTAAGTGAAGTTATTATAAAACTGTTAAGCTACATTTTCACTGTTTACAATGGCAGAGCCATCTCGTTTACAAGCATGTTTTAAGGCTTAATTCCTGTTACACTTATGATCCATGGGGATTTAGATTGAACTGCATAAAGGACAATCTATTTCTTTGTCAGTTGTAGTTTGTTTTTAAATAGAAAAAAATAAATCGATTAAAATCGAAAATCGGATTTGCTGTGAAAAAATCGGAGATTTTTTTTTTTTTTGCCATATCGCCCAGCCCTAGAGGGAAGTAAAGTGAAAACATGATGCCCGGGTGAATATTGGTGGCGTTACATCATATCTTTTGCCCCAAATCTTGCTGTAAACTTGATAGGTAATTTTTCAGTTATTGTACTGTATAATTTGTTTTCAGTGCATCGCTGTAACACCATTTCATAGGTGATTGTTGGACGGCTTGCGAGAAGCCTTATGCTAATGTTTGCATACAGTGTACGTATCAGATTGCTACTAAAACAAGAGAAGTGAGAGAATAGTGTAGGGGAGAGTAGGAGGGTTTCTCAAAATGAGAAGCCTGTGAGGGACTTAGGGGACGGTGCTAAACATTCAAACTGGAAAAAAATAAAACTTTCAGAATTGGGTATAGCTCTTTTAATACATACAAAATACTTCCGGCTACTGCTATGTAAACAAACACACATCCATGGGGAAGGTTTAGTGAGTTATATTTTGAAATGGGTTTTGACATGAGAATATAAAAACACATGTCACACCCACTTCAGGGAAGTCCTTAATGTTGCAACATGGGGATGATGTTGTGTCCTTAGGCAAGACACTGAAGCTGTTTATTTGACCAGAACTGCATCCTCTCTCCTTGTTTGTGACTGAACAGCAGGTTTCTGTGTTTTCCCACAGATTCAGATGCCAGTGAACACACCGTGGGTCCAGCTGGCACTGCTCCAGTTTCCCCAATATCCAAATAGGCAACTGGTCTCTAGTCTCTTTCCACTCTCTCTCTAATCTATCTTGCTGGTCTCTCTCTGTTTCTGCTCAGGATAAATAATAGTGTCTCTAAGATGCATTAACACGCAGGTAATTCCAGTGTTGTTGTCCAGATGCAGACATGCTACTGAGCTAATAACACAATATTGCTAACGCTAACACTATTAGCATTAGCAAGATATTTACGACGCTTTTACTGCATCGTAAATATACAGACTGTGGCTCTCGACCAAAAAGGAGCCACTCGGATTATTACAATATGACTTTCAACAATGGTGAGCTCATCCATTGACCTCCAAACACATTAGTATGACAGTACAGGAACAATACACAGTAGACATTTCTTAAAGCTTGGGGACATAACTTTCAAAGCACAACAATGGTTTGAGAGAGACCAGAAAGAGAGACCAGATAGACATCAGGGAGAGATTAGAAAGAGACCAGAGAGAGTAGAGAGAGACCAGAGAGAGACCAGAAAGAGACCAGAGAGAGACCAGAAGGAGACCAGAGAGAGACCAGGGAGAGATTAGAGAAAGAGTAAATAGTGGATATTCAATGCGGCAAAAATACTATTTCATTGTATTTCCTGGTTAAACTGTTTAAATGGCTTTAACTGTGCCCCTCATGACACCCCCCCATTCTCTCCCATCATGCATTCTGCTGCTGGGGCCAGTTCCCATAGTTTCAGAACAGTGTGTTTGGAGCAGAGCATCGAGACCACTTCAAACCACAGCTCCAAACAGCGTCTGGGCCAAAAACTGAGAATCTAACACCACAATCTCACACTGACGTGTTTATATGGCTATGCCAGGACACTGAGCCAGACCGGAAGAGAGAGGAGCCAGCAGCTGGAGGGCCTGGCAGCAGGACCAGGACCAGGATCAGGACCAGGAAACAGGACAATAAACACAAGAGAGAGAGTACAGCCTGCTCTTATCTCTGCTCAAGTCTGTTACACTGTCAAGACCTGGTGTGGTTCTACCCAGAGACTAGAGGAGTATGGGAGTGTGTGAGAGAGAGCAGAGAGAGAGAGAGAGAGAGAGAAGAGAGAGAGTAGAAAGGGACTAGAGAAGGATTAGTGAGATAGAGACAAGTGAGAGACAAAAGAGAGACCAGAGAGAGAAACGAGAGAGACCAATGGTCAAATCGTCACATGAAATGTTGCATGTGGGTAGCTGTGTGTTAGCGACCCACCTGACGCCTCCTTGTACTCGGCCTCGGACTCCTCGGACTCCTCGGTCTCTGGGGTCTTTTCTGGCAGTGAGGGCAGCTGAGCCAGGTCCATGAGAGTGTCCTTGTACTCTGTGTTACTGTAGAGACACAATCAAATCTTAACACTGTCCAGTCCATTTAAAACAGTAAAAACAGCTCTTCTATCTGCTTTCCTTCAGGCCTCTTTCTGGTCTCTTTTCTAGTCTCACTTTCTGGTCTCTCTCTGATCTCTCCTCAAATCTCTCACAGGCCTCTCTCTAATCTCTCTCTGGTCTCTCTCTGGTCTCTCCCTGGTCTTTCTCTGGTCTCACTCTGGTCTCTGGTTTCTCTCACCTGAGGACGTAGTTAACCCAGATAACATTCTTGTCGTTGTTGTTCTTGGCGTTGATGGCGATGGTGGCGCTGGACTGGATCCAGATGTATCCTCCGTTCTTCTGGATCCAGCGGTAATAATTCGTCACACACTGCCCTTTGTTCAGCACTGGAACCACAAGACTGTACTTAGAACATTGAGTATTTGTGTGTGTGTGTGTGTGTGTGTGACACTATGTATGAGGCTAAGGTTCAGTTTACACCTGCCTCAGACCTGTTTTAGTCCTGTTAAAGGGACCAACTGTGGCTTTTGCTCCATAACATAAACATAACGGTAAAATTAAAAGAAGATATTTATCTATTTATTCTTTATTTGGTTGGGACAGTACATGTTAATGAACACATCACTCCGGATTGTAGCCATGGGCTAATTTGCATATGTTGTCCCACAAACACACACTCATTCCGGAGTACCCAGAGGAAATCTACGCAGACATGGGGAGAACATGAATCTCTGCTTCAGTCTCTGCTTCAGTCTCTGCCTCAGTCTCTGCTTCAGTCTCTGCCTCAGTCTCTGCTTCAGTCTCTGCTTCAGTCTCTGCTTCAGTCTCTGCTTCAGTCTCTGCTTCAGTCTCTGCTTCAGTCTCTGTTTCAGTCTCTGCTTCAGTCTCTGCCTCAGTCTCTGCCTCAGTCTCTGCCTCAGTCTCTGCCTCAGTCTCTGCCTCTGTCTCTGCCTCAGTCTCTGTTTCAGTCTCTGTTTCAGTCTCTGTTTCAGTCTCTGCCTCAGTCTCTGCTTCAGTCCTGGTTAGGACCTGGTTCAGTCTCTGTTTCAGTCCTGGTTCAGACCTGGTTCAGTCTCTGTTTCAGTCCTGGTTTAGACTTGTTTGAGACAGGAAGTGCACAGTGTCATGTGACAGCTGGCTCTGCGTCGCTTCAGTGACTACGACATTAATCTCAATCAGAACCAGAGCCAAGAAAAACACTGTATATATACAACTAAATACAGACACACACACACACACACACACTCTCTTTCTCTGGTCTCTCTGCTCCAGTCTCTCTGCTCTAGTCTCTCTCTGGTCTCTCTCTGGTCTCTCTGCTCTAGTCTCTCTGCTCTAGTCTCTCTCTGGTCTCTCTCTGGTCTCTCTCTGGTCTCTCTGCTCCAGTCTCTCGCTGGTCCCTCTCTGTTCTCTCTCTGGTCTCTCTGCTCTGGTCTCTCTGCTCTAGTCTCTCTCTGGTCCCTCTCTCTGGTCTCCCTTAGTTAAATTAGAAATGTAATGACTCCAAATGTCATCATTCAGGATCAAGCGTCAATCCCCTGAGTCTCCTGAGCTTCAGTTTGGAGACCACTGCTGTCAGGCTTTTAATAATAGAGTAACGAGTTTGAGACGAGACCAGGAGTGTCGAACCAGTCCTCAAAGGGCCGGTGTGGCTGCAGGTTTTAGTTCCAACAGCAGAGGGAGCTGACTCCACCCATTTCCTCAGGTGTGTCCAGTTTTAGTTTTAACCTGAAGATCTGAGAGTTAGTGTGGAGTCTGTGCTCCTGCTGTTGGAACTAGCACCTGCACCACACCTGCCCTTTGAGGACAGGTTTAACTTTGTCGTTCAGTGAAAAGAAACAGCTCCAGGTTTTGCCTCCTGCAGTACCCTTCACCACCAGCAGATGAGGCTCTGTCCTCGTGGAAGTGGAGCACAAATAGACCTATTTTAAAGAAGACTAATTCAGCGAGATCTACCCGTCTCTCTTTCGTCTCTGTTTCAACACTGATCCTCACTAGTCACAGACCTGAAGCTGTGTTACGCTCCATCCATGCAAACATTACGAACTTGTGACACACACGTAGCTCCGCCCCTTTTGTCTCTCTCTCTGGTCTCTCTTTGATCTCTGCTCTGTCTCTCTCTAGTCTCTCACTGGTCTACCTCTGGTCTCTCTCTCTCTTATCTCTCTCTGATCTCTCTACTGTCTTTCTTCTATTCTCTCTCACTTTGGCAGCCGTGAGTTAAGGTGGTTAGAAAAGTGTATAAAGTGTGAGCGAGAGAGACACAGACTCCACCTTCAGCCTGACCTTCCTTTGTTTGTTCATCGGAGAAAACATGTGGAAGAACTGGAGAGAGAGAGAGAAAGAGAAGGAGGAGGAGAAGAGTGAGAGAGGAGGAGGAGGAGGAGGAGAAGAGTGAGAGAGGGGAGAGGAGTGAGAAGAGAGGAGAGGTGAGAGAGGAGGAGACGGAGGGTTTTATCTGTGTGAGATGGACAGATATGGAGTGGACTTTGCATGTTCTCCCTGTTTTTTGCTTTGGTGTCCTCCAGGTGCTCTGGTTCCCCCTCATCACTAAAAACATCGGTAAACTCCCCCAGATGGACGTTACTTTTACACGTAAGTCCATGGAAACCAGAACAAGTTTGAGCCAATCTTCACAGAGTAAGCTGGTTAGCATTGTCCATATACTGTATATACAGTCCGTGGTATTGCTATGGGTCACCATGACGACGCAGGCTCTCCCTTCACTGTGCAGGTCTGTGGAGAGGCGAGCTGCTATCATGTGACTCGCTGTCGTTTTAACACTGGAGCGAGAAAGTGTTCTGTAAAGAGATGTGTGTTTGTGTGTAGTGCATGTGTGCAATGTGTGTGTATGTAGTGCATGTGCGTGAGTGTATTGTGTGTGTATGTAGTGCATGTGTGTGAGTGTAATGTGTGTGTGGGTGTGTATATGAAGTGCATGTGTGAGTGCGTGCGTGTAATGTGTGTTCAATGTGTGTGTGTGAGTCGTGTATGTGTGCATGTGTGTAAAGACCGTGTGTGTGTGTGTGTGTGTATAGTGTATGTGTGTGTGTTCGTGCGTGTGAATAAATGTGTGTGTGTGTGTTAGAGCCCTAATGAAGACGGCCTGGGGCAGTGCCGGAGGCGTCTGGACAGAAACCAAAGATTAAAGGAGCTCATTCCCTTTAAAACCTGCACCTGTCGTATCTACGGCAACAGAAAGGGTGGGGGGGGTGGGGGGGTGGGTGTATGAGGGGGAGGGGGTTGAGGGAGGCTGAGGTGGGGTGAGAGAGCTGTAAAAGTTTTAATTTGAGAGACAAAGACGACTGAATCTCTGCTTCTGATGTTTCCTCAGGTTAATGTTCTACATTTCTGTCAAGGTTAAAGCTGAGAGACGTGACTTTCAGACCGCAACAATAGAACTCTACTCTGGTTTCTGGTACCTGCTCTCTCTCTGGTACCTGGTCTCTCCCTGGTCTCTCTCTTCAGAGAGAGAGACCAGAGAGTGACCAGAGAGAGACACCAGAAAGAGAGACCACAGGTAGGGAGATATCTCATTCTGACTCCCATAAAGCTGGGAGTTGAATAAAGTTTAAGAGTTTTGAGGTCAGTCTCCTGCAGAATCAATAGAATGAGTGTCACATGGTTGTGTGTCTGGTAAGTGTCACATGGTCAGTGTGTTTGGGTCTTTAGCTGCCATTAGAGAGAGTTAAACACAGGAATTAGACTGAAGACACAGAGCCAGAAAATCAGAGAAAATCACTGCTTTCACTAATGAAGACGTTCAAACTACTGCAGGAAAGAGAGAGACTGGGACAGGACTGGATCAGGACTGGATCAGGACTGGACCAGGACTGGACCAGGACTGGACCAGGACTGGACCAGGACCAGATCATGATTGAGTCCGGACTAGCACAGGACAAAAAAGGGACTGAACCAGCACTGAATAAGGATCAAGCCAAGTCTGTAACAGGACTAAACCAGACCTGGACCAGGACTAAACCAGACCTGGACCAGGTCTGAACCAGGTGTTGACAGCAGTCGATGGTACTTACAGTCCAGGTGACACTGTCTGATCCCCTCCACGTCCTCTGCATGAATAAACTGGTAACATCTTTTACCAACAACGTCGACAGGAGCCAGATCCATGTAGTCACTGATCCTGTGGACACACACACACACACACACACACACACACACACACACACGCAACAAAGAAATACACACAAGTTATTATTTCAAAACATGTATAGAAACAAAATACAATACTACTGCATCATGATGAGTTCACTCCACCAACACCCTCTCTGGTTTCACTCTGTCTCTCTTTGGTATCTCTGGTCTCTCTCTCTCTGGTCTCTCTCTCTCTCTGGTCTCTCTCTCTCTGGTCTCTCTCTCTCTCTGGTCTCTCTCTCTTGTCTCTCTTTCTGGTCATCCTCTGTTCTCTCTGTCTAGTCAATTTCTGTTCTCTTTCTCTTTGGTCTCTCTGGTCGTTCTGTTCTCTCTCTCTCTGGTTGTTCTCTGCTCTCTCTCTCTGGTCGTTCTCTGTTCTGTCTCTCTCTCTCTCTCTCTCTCTCTCTCTCTCTGGTCTCTCTTCAGTGACTCTAATCAGTATCAAATAATGATCTGGACACTTTCACAAACTGCTTCTTTCCCTACGAATTGTCTCGGCTCAGACTGAAACTCTGAAAAGTGATTCTCCGACATGAACGCAGCAGAAGTGACTGCAGCTCACTTTATTTCATGAACTGATACTTTCACAACTCAATCACATCTGCTTTTGTAAAGGTACACGCCGTTCCTCCTCACACTATCTCTCAAACTCAACCGCACAAAGACTGTCTCTGGTCTTTCTCTGGTCTCTCTCAGGTCTGTCTTTGGCCTCTCGCTGGTCTCTGGTCACTCTCTCTGGTGTCTCTCTAGTCTCTTTCTGGTTTTTCTCTGTTACACTCTGTTCCTCTGTGTTTTTTCTCGTCACACAATGTCCTGATCGCTTTCCCACACAGGTCCTGACTGTTCCCCCCCGGTCCCCCACACAGGTCAGGTCAGAGAGTAAATTGATGCACTCTGAACTAAAGAAAATTTCTAGTTTGATGTTTCTGATTTTGAATACAGGCCACTTGCTGAGGGTTCACCTGGTAGAGAGAGTAGAGAGAGACCAGAGAGAGAGACAAGAGAGAGAGACTAGCCAAAAGTACTAGAGAGAAATACTAGAGAGAGACCAGAGCAAGACAAAAATGAGAACAGGGGGAGAGACTAGAATGAGACCACAGAAAGACTATTGAGAGACCAGGGAGAGGAAAGAGAAAGAGAGACTATAGAGAGACCAGATAGAGAGACTAGAGAGAGACTAGAGAGAGAGAGAAATTAGAGAGAGACTAGAGAGAGAGAGAGAAATTAGAGAGAGACCAGAGAGACTAGAGAGAGAGATTAGAGAGAGACTAGAGTGAGACCAGAGAGAGACAATACAAAGCTCCTGTTCCTCCTTCTCTCCAGGACAGTAGCCCCTCCCTCACCTGTTCTCGCAGTAAACAATCTTCAGGTCCATGTTTACGCGGGACACAAACATCTGGCAGTCGATGCGAACCTCGTTGATGGTTGGTGGAGGAAGGGCGTGTGCCACCACCACCATCCCCAGGACCTGACTGGGCACCGAGCGAGAGTGGGTCAGCGCCATGCGGATCCGGAGGCGGCCCGTCACATGGATCACCTGCCGAGAGAAGGAGGAGTCAGTAACCATGGAGACCGAGGCGGGTGGAGTACCAAACTTTGTTTTTCGTAGTGGAGACAGTAGCAGTAGTAGTAGTATCAAGAAGTAATATCCGGCTGAACAATGACGCAGGCAAAGTCTCTATCTTCCTGTTAGATCTGAGTGCAGCCTTTCACACTGTCGACCATGACCTCATGCAGAGACTAGAGGACGGGGTTGGTGTCGCTGGCACCGCCCCAAGTTGGTTTAGGTTTTACCTTGAAGACAGGAATTACATTGTAGAGATTGGAACATCTTTGTTGGAGATTGGAGTCTCAGATTATATGGCCCTGAACTGACTGTTGAGTACCACAGGGGTCGACACTAGGACCTCTGCTGTTCAATCTCTACATGCTTGAACAGAAGTAATAGAACAGTATAGTAGTAGTAGTAGTAGCAGAGGTAGTAGTTGTAGCAACAACAGAAGCAGCAGCAGTAGTAGCAGCAGTAGTAGTAGAAGCAGCAGCAGTAGCAGTAGCAGCAGCAGTAGTAGCAGCAGTAGTTGTAGTAGCAGCAGCAGTAGAAATGGCAGTAGCAGTGGCAGTAGCAGTAAACATACCTTGTATCCGGAGCTCTTGATGTGGACTCCTCTCTTGGTCAGGGTGGATTTCATACGAATGAAGAAGGATTTCTCCAGAATGTTGTCAGGAGCCAAAAGACTGGGACTTGAGGACTCCACTGAGACACACAGACACACACACACACACACACAAAACAAACATTAGTTCAAGTTCGTCATCACCAAATGCCACAGATTTAGGTGAAAGATTTTCAGACATCAGAAGAATATTAAGAATCACTTTCAAATTAATGAGCTAGAAACAACAGGATGTTCTCTCCTCAGAGTCGTTATGTCTCCTGCTATTCTACTATTCTCTATTTACCAAAAAAGTTTCTTTCGTTTTGGTCATTGTTTTCAAAAAGAGACCAGAGAGAGATTTCAGAGATAGAAACCAGAGAGATAGCAGAGACCAAAGACAGACCAGTGAGAAGCAAAGAGAGACCAGAGAGAAAGAGAAACTAGAGAGAGACCAGAGCGAGACCAGTCTATTGAGACTTTTATCCATCTTGAATGTCAAAGGAAATACCTAAAGTCTTTCTGCTCCATATCTTTTCATAGATTGTTAACTGATGAAAGGACTAAAGGAGACAGATCTATCGCCTCCGCATTAGTCTAAATCCAGCACAGACTGAAGAAAAGGACAGTGAGACGCTGTAAAAACACAGGAACAGATCTGCACGCGCTCAGATCAGAAACTCAAACCGTAATAAAGATGTCAAAGTGTCCATCAAAGTGTCCACACACGTCCACGAGTCGTCAACACAAAAGCAGACGCCGTAATTAAGCAGCGAGCTAGAAGAGACGTTTAAAACAAGACACAGAGGAAGGACGTTCTTCTATTGTTTTCACTTGGGGTCTCTCTGGTCTATCTCTGGTCTATCTCTGGTCTCACTCTGGTCTATCTCTGGTCTCACTCTGGTCTATTTCTGGTCTATCTCTGGTCTCACTCTGGTCTCTCTCTGGTCTCTCTCTGGTCTATCTCTGGTCTATCTCTGGTCTATCTCTGGTCTATCTCTGGTCTATCTCTGGTCTCACTCTGGTCTCACTTTGGTCTCTCTCTCGGGTCTTACTCTGGTCTCTCTTTCTGGTTTCTCTCTCTCAGGTTTCTCTCTGGTCTATCTCTGGTTGCTCTCTGCTCTCTCTCTTGTCTGTCTCTGTGGTCTCTCTCTGTCGTCTTTCTGTTATCTCTCTCATCTTTTTCAGGTCTCTGGTCTCTCTCTAGTATCTCTTCCTGGTCTGCCAAAGTGAGAGACCATAGAGAGAAAGTACTGTATGTGAAAACTAGGGAAAAGAAGAATATTGTTTTGGTGTCAAGAACTAGAGACATGGAGGGATAAACCGGATTTGAATTAGGTTTTAACTGGGTCTAAACCAGTACTAAAGTAGGGTCTGAAACAGAGTCTGAAACAGAGATTGAAAGAGAGACTGAGGCAGTACTACACATGGACTAAAGCTGAGACTGTGGCAGGACTGAACCTGGACTAAAGTTGAGACTGAGGCAGGACTAAACCAGGTCTAACCCGGTGATGGATTGGACTTAGGTTCGTCCTTCACGTGGACACAAACAGGAAGTGCATTTGTCACTGTCACAGTAACAGAGAGGGCGTCGACCATTTAGAGCTGTGCAACCGGAGGGCAGGGACCAATCAGGCTGCAGCGTTCTGAAGGTGAAGAAGTCCATTTGTCAACAGGAAAAAACGCTGCCTTTTCAAAACATGAGCCATCAGAGAGACGAATGGACAAACAAGATGGCCGACAGGAGGATACAGTGAAGCATATGTTAGAAAGTAACTATATTATTAACTATATAGCCCAGCGTCTGTAAGATAGTTAATAGTCCCAATTCTGATTCCCTCTGGTCTCTCTGTGGTCTCTCTCTGTGGTCTCTCTGTGGTCTCTCTGTGGTCTCTTTGTGGTCTCACTCTGGTTTCTGGAAACCTCCTCCTCCTCTCCCTTCTCCTCCCCTCCAACTCCTCTCCTCTCTCTCCTCCTCCTCTCACTCTTCCTCATCTCTCTCCTCCTCCTCCCTTCCTCTGTCCTCCTTCTCCTCCTCTCTCTCTCTCTCTCTCCTCCTCCTCCGCTCCTATCTGTCCTCCTTCTCCTCCTCTCTCTCTCTCTCTCTCTTCCTCCTCCTCTCTCTCTCTCTCCTCCTCCTCCCCTCCTATCTGTCCTCCTTCTCCTCCTCTCTCTCTCTCTCTCTCCTCCTCCTCCTCTCTCTTCAAGGACACTCTCCTCTAAAGCGCAGGACATTTGCATATTAATTCCTTCTTTGTCTTTTTCAGATTAGAGCTTGTCAACACGAATCAGCTCTGATCACAACTGCTGTTCACCAGAGACCGCGAACGTGAGGCTCTTCAGACCGGGTTTAGACCTGCTTTAGTCCTGCACAATCCTACTTTAGTCCTGGTTTCTTCCTGATTTAGTCCTGTTTTAGTCATGATTAAGTCCTAGTTAAGTCCTGCTTCAGTCCTAGTTTTGTCCTTCTTTATTCCTCCTTTAGTCCTGGTCTAGTCCTGCTTTAGTCCTGGTTTAGTCCTGGTTCAGTCCTGGTGTAGTCCTTTACGTTTAGACGGAGACGCTGCGGAGACGTTCCACAGCAATTTGCGAAAATGATCTGGCTTCATATTCGATGTGCATAGCGTCTAAAAGCCGACAGAAAACGATTAGGTTTTAGTGCAGTAGGGGGCAGTGGAACTTCACAACACGCCATGCACAACCCCGACCAGTATAATTACTTCCTCAAAGCCTGAGGAGGATGCACAAACATTATTCTACATTTAACAGTAGCAGCAAAAATGGAAACTGAAACTACAGCTTTGCGTGGTTTCATTTGAACGGACGAAGTAGTAGAATTGCTTCTCTGTGTAGCGTTTGAAGCACACATAGCATTAGTGTACCCGCCGCCATTGTTGTTTATGTTTGTTCTCGGCTACTGCGCTTGTCCAAGTATGTGTGCGGAGAAGTGGTGAGGTTCTGTGTCACTCTGGAGGCTGTTTCTCAACCCTTGCCTTTTCACTCTCCTGAAACACTGTCTTTGTGTAAGCGAAAGGCCAAACCGATGCCCAATTCTAATGTTTTCCTGTCACAGTGTCCTCGTGTAAACAGCACATTAGTCCTGCTTTAGTCCTGCTTTAGACCTGAGATAGTCCTGCTTTAGATCTGCTTTGTCTTCTTCAAGACAAAACCCAATAATCAAACATCTCCCACTTCTTCTGAAAACTATATTTCTATAATCATCAGTGTCAGCTGTGATTCACACAGCAGGATGCTTCCCGCCCTCGTTGGTCTGAGCAGAGACCTGAGCAGAGACCTGAGCAGAGACCTGAGCAGAGACCTGAGCAGAGACCTGAGCAGAGACCTGAGCAGAGACCTGAGCAGAGACCTGAGCAGAGACCTGAGCAGAGACCTGAGCAGAGACCTGGGCAGAGACCTGAGCAGAGACTTCAGCAGAGACCTGAGCAGAGACTTCAGCAGAGACCTGAGCAGAGACTTCAACAGAGACCTGAGCAGAGACCTGAGCAGAGACCTGAGCAGAGACCTGAGCAGAGACCTGAGCAGAGACCTGGGCAGAGACCTGAGCAGAGACTTCAGCAGAGACCTGAGCAGAGACTTCAGCAGAGACCTGAGCAGAGACTTCAGCAGAGACCTGAGCAGAGACTTCAGCAGAGACTTCAGCAGAGACCTGAGCAGAGACCTGAGCAGAGACTTCAGCAGAGACCTGAGCAGAGACTTGAGCAGAGACTTGAGCAGAGACTTCAGCAGAGACCTGAGCAGAGACTTGAGCAGAGACTTGAGCAGAGACTTCAGCAGAGACCTGAGCAGAGACCTGGGCAGAGACCTGAGCAGAGACCTGGGCAGAGACTTGAGCAGAGACCTGAGCAGAGACCTGGGCAGAGACCTGGGCAGAGACCTGAGCAGAGACCTGAGCAGAGACTTCAGCAGAGACCTGGGCAGAGACCTGGGCAGAGACCTGAGCAGAGACTTCAGCAGAGACCTGGGCAGAGACCTGGGCAGAGACCTGGGCAGAGACCTGGGCAGAGACCTGAGCAGAGACCTGAGCAGAGACTTCAGCAGAGACCTGAGCAGAGACCTGGGCAGAGACCTGAGCAGAGACCTGGGCAGAGACCTGAGCAGAGACCTGGGCAGAGACCTGGGCAGAGACCTGAGCAGAGACCTGAGCAGAGACTTCAGCAGAGACCTGGGCAGAGACCTGAGCAGAGACCTGAGCAGAGACCCGAGACTCTTCTGTATGATCCACACGTTAGCTTAATAACTCGTTTGTCCTTCCGTCGTCAAACACAGAAAGCTCCGCAGCATCAGGGGAAGAAGAAGAAGAGATAATGAACGACAGCAGCTGACTGCAGAACTAAAGCTCATCTCCAAGATTCCCCTGAAGAACAAACACAAAGACAGGACAGAGAGGGGGGAGAGAGAGAGGGGGAGAGGGAGAGAGAAAGAGACCGTAGAGGGGGAGTGGGCCAGAAAGAGAGGGAGGAAGAGGGGGAGAAAGAGAATCCAGAGAGAGGGGAAGAGAGAGAAGATGGGAGAGAGAGAGAGACCAGAGAGAGAGACCAGAGAGAGAGAGAAAAGGGATACCAAAGAGAGAGAGAGGGAGAGGGAAAAAGAGAGGGAAGGAGAGAGAGAAAGAGAGATAGTCCTGAGTCTAAAGCCTCAGTCCTGGATCTCCAGTCTCAATCGTCTCGCTCCCTATGGACCAATGCGTTAGTTTTTGTTGCCTTTCCTGCGTTTGAACTGTTTCTCTGAGTTGACGACATTGTAATTTCATAGCTTTAGGGCTGTACACAAATAAATTGAACAGAATTGAGTTTTTAACGACCTAAACATCTCAGAAAACATCCCCTTTCCTTTTACACCTGCTGGTCTCCATGACGACAAAGAGCACTTATCCATTCTGCCTGTGTGCGAAGTTAAGCCTCCTCTAACTTCCTGTATAACGAAAAAACCACAAAAAATCTTTAAAAAGTACAATTATCTCCGGACTTTTCAGACTTCTGACGGAATCTCTCAAATCCTTTTCCCACCACCGGCGCCTGGGAACACGGCGCCACGGCCTGGGAACGCCGCCACGGCCAGGTAACACTCCGAGATATTCACTTTTTGTCTTTTATTTTAGCGGGTCGAATCAAAGGGGGTTTGATCCTGGCTTTGTTTCAGCGGCAGGTTTTTGACGACAGGAAAGTCTGTGTAAAGACCCAGGAGAAGAGAGGAAGAGAGCAGGAGAGAGGAAATAGAAGGAGAGGATGAGATAGGAGCAGAGGAGAGAAGAGGAGCAGAGAGGAGGTGCAGAGAGGAGGTGCAGAGGAGGAAGGGAACACGAGACCAGAGAGAGATCCCAGAGAGACCTGAGAAAGAGATCAGAGATTTGAAGCAGTCCTGGTTTAGTCTTGGTTCAATCCTGGTTCAGACCTGGATTAGACCTAGTTTTCTCCTGGTTTAGTCCATTATGATACAATTGTTTGCTTTGACCCTTTCATTTTGACGCTGTCTGCCCTGCATTTTAAATCCGACACAGGCCCGAACAACATGCCAACCTTTCCCACTGGGTCGACGCTGAGTCTCCACAGTCGATTCGTCTCTGCTTTAATGAGATTTTCTCTGAGTCGCCTTGGGTCAGACTGATGGTGTCGTGGCTGCCACTCATGCGTTGAACCGCAGATCCTCAGATCCGTCTGTCGAAAATCAATTCTCTTTGTTCAGGAGCCATCATTAAGAATCAGCTCAAGTCTGATTTTTCAGAAGCAACTTGACTCTGGTTCAAATCTCTGGTCTCTCCCTGGTCTCTCTCTTTCTACCTGGTCTCTCTCTGGTCTCACAAGTCTTGCCTTGGTCTCCCGCACTCTCTGGTCCCTCTCTGGTCCCTATCCATTGGCTTCATTGAGCTAGCTGATTAGCATTGTCCATCTGTATACAGTCTATGGTTTTTGAGTCTGAACCCTCACAGAACTGCTCGGTCTGGTCTCTGAGTTCATTTGTGTGGTGTTTACACCTCTATAAGATTTTAATTTTGTTCGATAAAAGTGGAGTTTGTTCTGTTTGTGCCGCAGTCTAAACAGAACAAACTGCTGGTGTTTGGAGGTAAACGTCTTAAATCAACAACGAGAGATAAATATCAGGTTTTCCTCAGAGGATCCTGAACGCAGCGTCTGGAGGAGAGACATTTACTGACCGCGGGACAAACCAGCGCCAACCAAACACGCACACACACATACATACACAAACAGACACCACTGAAGGTCTAGGAAATGTCCGTGAGAGGCTCTCTGGTCCCTCTCTCTCTATCTCTCTGGTCCTTCTCTGGTCTCTTCATCTCTCACAGGTCCGTCCCTCTCTGGGTCCTCTCTGGGTCCTCTCTGGTCTCTCTCTCTCTCTCTCTCCCTCTCTGATCCATTTGATTCTTATGGTTCTTAAATTAAATATTGTTTTCCTGGTCTCAGATTTTGCATACAAAATCCAGATCAGGACTAAATGTGTCCAAATGAACGAGGCTCTAACTCCTTGGTCTGATTCAGAGCTGTGTCTGTGCTCCCTGGTGCCTCTGCCCCAGGGCGGCTGCGGCAGACAGATGGTGGAAAGTGGGGGGGGGGCATGTGTGATGAGAGACGTGGACACGGATAAACAGAACCAAACACAAATGTTCTAGAACTTCATTGCCACAGGCTTTTCCAACAGTCGAACTGGTGTAAAGGTTGGTGTGTTGTTTGGACCCATGTCTGCTTCTCATCAGATATAGTTGTGTCTAAATAAAGTGGTCACAACAAACAAAGATATTACAGTCTGAACATTTGCTCATTCTAGTCATCTCTTAATCAAGAGAGGTCCAGGTTCAGACCTGGTGCAGACTGACATGGACTACATCTTTTCAATCAAATGTTTGGAGAGTTGCTCATTCTCATCATCTCTTATTGAATAAAAATGTTTTCTCACACATGTTCCCCTTAACACAGAGTTTCACATTTAGCCCACACTAGTGTCTTTCCTGGTCTTTCCTGGTGTTTCTGGTTCTGGTTCCGGTCACAGACTTTGACTTTGAGCTGATGATAATGGCTGTAATGATGAAGAATGTGTTTTATTACGCAACGTTTTAACTGAGAATAAAGTGTTTTAACGAGACTCAGGGACTGTTGTTTCTGCTTCACTTTAGTTTGAGGCGAAAAGACATTAATATCTATTAACAAAACATCTGTGTTTGATTAGAGACTTACAGGGGACTGAACCAGGTCTAAACCCGGTCTGAAACAGGCCTGAACCAGGTCTGATGCAGGTCTAATGCAGGTCTGAACCAGGACTGAGCCAGGTCTGAACCAGGTATAAACCAGGACTACCCCAGGTCTAAACCAGGACTAAACCAGGACTAAACCAGGGCCTCTCCCTGGTCTCTGTCTGTTTGTCAGAAGTGAAATCTCTCTATAGTTTGTCGTCACTTCAGAAGCGTCCGACCGAGCGCAGCCTTCAAACAAAGATCTTCCTTAAATCAAATGAAAGCTTTGAGTCTGCAACTATTGCCACCTCTGCAGGTTTGAAGTGGTTAGCCATGCTTCTAAATCAAAGTTCATTCATATTTTGTTCCTAAGAGAGTTAACCAAAGCTGTGCTTGCTGATACTTAAAGCGATTATGATTTGCTTAAGGAGAACAGTTATACCAATGACAAGGGGGCTCATGGTCTCATTTTGACCAATCAGGAAGCTGCAGGGGTGAGCGTGGAAGGGGCTAACCATACACACACGCGCACGCACGCACACACACTCAAGCACGCACACACACGTGCACACACCGCAAGTCCGTGACTTTGTGGATTACATCATGTGTTTCAGAGACATTCACTTTAAAAACACTTCAAACGATGGCGTCCAAGGTCGACTCCACTGCTGAGTTTAAACACCAAAAATTATGAGAATTATTCTTCACAAAGAGAAGAATCAGATAATGGAGGGAGGAGAGGACCGAGGAGAGAGGACATAGGACAGAAGACAGAAGACCGAGGAGAGAGGACATAGGACAGAAGACAGAAGACCGAGGAGGGAGGACATAGGACAGAAGACAGAAGACCGAGGAGAGAGGACATAGCTCAAAGTACTGAGGAGAGAGAGGAAACCAACAGCAAGACCAAAGAGTTTTGCTTTTGGTCTCTCTCTCTGGTCTCTGGTCACTCTCTGGTCTCTTACTCTGGTCTCTCACTCTCATCTTTCATGGTCTCTCTCTGGACTCTCTCTCTGGTCTCTCTCTGGTCTCTCTCTGGTCTCTCTCTGGTCTCTCTCTGGTCTCTCTCTGGTCTCTCTCTGGTCTCTCACTCTGGTGTGTCTCTCTGGTCTCTCTCTCAGGTCTCGCTCTGGTCTCTATTTTGTCTCTCTGGTCTCTCTCTTGTCTCTCTCTGGTCTCTCACTCTGGTATGTCTCACTGGTCTCTCTCAGTTCTTTCTGGGCTCTCTCTCAGATCTCGCTCTGGTCTCTATTTTGTCTCTCTGTTGTCTCTCTCTGGTCTCTCTCTAGCTTCTCTTTGGTCTCTTTCTGGTCTCTCCCTCTCTGGTCTCTCTCTGGTCTATCTCAGGAGGTCTCTCTCAGGTCTCTCTATGGCCTCTCTCTCTGGTCTCTTTCTGGTCTCTCGCTGTGGTCTCTCTGACTGGCTTCTCTCTCTGGTCTAGCTACATTAATTTGATGTAAAATATTGAAAGGTTCATTAGAAAATTAAACATAGTTTAAGCCTCAGCGTCAGAGTCCATCAACGTCTGATCGAGCAAACACAGCAGAGTAAATACACCAGGACCAGGACCAGGACCAGGAGGAGGACTAGGGAGGACTAGGACTTGGCTAAGACAGGACGAGGACCAGACTGAGAGAGGAGACCAGAGGGAGAGTGAATAGAGAGAGAGAGCAGAGAGAGAGACCAGAGATAATCCAGAGAGAGTTCTTCCAGTCCTTCTGAATTCTAATGTTTTTGGTGAAACTGCTGGTGTTTAGCTCTGCACCTGGTTCTGGAGTCTGTACCTGGTTCTGGAGAGTCTGCGTGTGAGGAAGAGGAGGCAGAGGAGTTGGCATCTTCGTTCACGCTGCTCTGGAGAGAAAGACCTCGTCCGGGAGGAAGCTTCATCCCCAGCTGGTCCGCCATCTCCACATGGTCTCCAGGATGGATGTAGTCGAACGCACTGCTACCAGTAAGCTCCACCTGAGAACAACAAACATGCACTTTAAGACCGGGGAGACCAGAGGGAGACCAGAGAGGGACCAGAGAGAAACCAGAGAGACCAGAGAGAGACTAGAGGGAGATCAGAGGGAGACCAGAGAGAAACCAGAGACACCAGAGAGATGCCAGACTAAAAATATGTACAATAGGTCTGGCATGCGCCTCCTGTACTGGCGACCCTGCTCCCATCTCTGTGTGGAGTGAGAGGACAAATGCCCAAAAATAACAATTGTAAACCGCTTTGAGACTCTGGTCTGTGAAAGGCGGTATATAAATAAAGCTTACTTACTTACTTACTTACTAGAGGGAGACCAGAGAGAAACCAGAGAGACCAGAGGGAGACCAGAGAGATAGACCGGAGAGAGAGACCAAAGAGCGACCAGATGGAAACCGGAGAGATAGACCAGAGAGAGCAGCGGGAGACCAGATGGAGACCAGAGAGAGAGACCTGAGAGACCAGAGAGACCAAAGAGAGACTAGAGGGGGACCAGAGAGAAACCAGAGAGAGACTAGAGGGAGACCAGAGGGAGACCAGAGGGAGACCAAGGAGACCAGGGCGACCAGAGAGAAACCAGAGAGATAGACAAGAGAGAGACCAGAAGGAGACCAGAGGGAGAGCAGGTGGAGACCAGAGAGGGACCAGAGAGACCACAGAGAGAGAGACCAAAGAGAGTCTAGAGGGGGACCAGAGGGAGACCAGACGGAGACCAGACGGAGACCAAAGAGACCCGATAGAAACAAAAGAGACCAGAGAGGGACTAGAGGGAGACCAGATGAAGACCAGAAACAGACCAGAGAGAGAGATACCAAAATGAGACCAGATAGTGACCAGAATGAGACTGACTTATGCCACAGGTTGCAGGAGTCAGAGCAGTTATGTTGAAGAGAGAGCAGCGTCTCCACTCACTTTCACTTCACCCTAACCTCTGGTCAAGAGGATTTTTCAAATTTGAAAAGAGAAAACTCAACACTCCTCTCACTGGTCTCTCTCTCTAGTCTTTTTACTTGTTTTCTTGTTTCACCATATATTTTCTGGAGAAGATAATATTGTAAAAACATCTTGCATAAATGTTTCCAGAGACAGTTTTTATGTCTGTGATGAACAAACTGAATATTTGCAGAACCTGGTTTAAAAGGAACAAAGCGTCTGTGACTCGTCTCCAGTCGAGTAATCCAACTCTAAACCGTCTTTAGAAAACGCTAATGAAAGAGTAATCTGCTCATTCTGGAACCACACAACCATAAGAGCCTCATTACACAGGATTTAAACCATTAATCACCACTAACACCAGCAACCACATCTGCACACCAGAGAATACTCCCCAAACTATCAATGAAAACTGGAACGAGACCAGGGAGAGGCCATAGAGAGACAAGAGAGAGACCAGAGAGAGACCAGAGGGAGAGACCAGAGAGAGAGAACAGAGAATAGAGAGAGAAACCAGAGAGAGACCAGAGAGAGACCAGAGAGAGACCAGAGGGAGAGACCAGAGAGAGAGAACAGAGAATAGAGAGAGAAACCAGAGAGAGACCAGAGAGGGACCAGAGATAGAGACCAGAGAGGGACCAGAGAGGGACCAGAGATAGAGACCAGAGAGAGACTAGAGAGAGACCAGAGAGGGACCAGAGAGAGATCAAAGAGAGAGAGACAAAAGAAAGACACCAGAGACATAGATCTGAGAGAGACCAAAGAGAGAGAGACCAAAGAGAGAGAGACCAAAGAGAGAGAGACCAGAGAGAGTCCAGACAGAGACCAGAGTGAGAGAGACCAGAAACACGTCAAATTTGCGTGGCGTCTGTGTTTGATTGTCGTACAGCTGTTTCCTTCGACCCGAGGGAGTGTTTGGAGGATTACACGCTTGTAATCCAGTTAATAAGAACCCCTTTAAGGCAGGCGCGTCTCTTGGGGAACACAGAGCAGCGGCCGCAAAGCATCATGGGAGTTGGAGTCCGCCGCGCTTCTAATTGGATCGACATTGTTCGCGCTCGGAAGAAAGCGCGCAAGACTTTTAATCAATTAAAACTTGGCAGAAGTGTTTTACATAAAGCTAATTACAGAGAGGAGGGGGGGAGGGGGAGGAGGGGGGAGGCAGATTAGGAACAGGAGCAAGAGAGAGAGCCGTGTTGCGGTTTTAAGTGGTTTATCAAACACAAAGCGCTCAGGGAAATATCCAGTGGCTTCCCCTGAAGTTGGACGGCACGCGCTCATTACCAGCTGTAAATGAGGAAATGGAAATGAAGCCTTTTGTCTGAGAGAAAAGAGAGAGCGCAGTGTCAGACTGCGATACGAGTCACAGACCGGATTACAGTCATCTGAGGAAGAATGTATGAACACTCTGAAGAGGCAGTGACCGCTGGGACTGAAGGAGAGACTGAAGCAGAGACTGAGGAAGAGACTGAGGCAGAGACTGAAGCAGAGACTGAGGCAGAGACTGAAGCAGAGACTGAAGCAGAGACTGAGGTAGAGACGGAAACGGAGACTGAAGCAGAGACTAAGTCCGAGACTAATGTAGAGACTGAAGCAGAGACAGAGGTAGACACGGAAACAGAGACTTGACCCGATCTAAACCCATGTGCATTAGACATATTCCTTTTCGTCCTCTTAAATTGGTGGAAGTTGGACCAGTACCAGAGCTGGGGACAGGCTTTTGGAAGGACAAAAGTGACACTGTCCGCCCACATAACTCACGCAGCTAATGGAGTCGTCACAATAATAAAGACGAGGGGAAAGAAGGACACTGTAGGACCGAGGCCGTTCCAAATCTGTGGCTTCGACTGCAACCAGAGCGAGTAGATGTTTATCCAATACAGAAATTGCATTTATGAAATCACAAAGAGAAAGACCAGATAGAGAGAGAGACCAGAGAGAGGGACCAGAAAGAGGGACCAGAGAAAGAAAAGCCAGAAAGGGGCCGGAGAAAGTGAGACAGAGAGAGAAGAGACAGACACCAGAGAAAGAGAGAGAGCAAGAGCGAGAGAAGAGAGGAACCAGAGAGACAGACCAGAGAGAGACTAAAAAAAATGCATTCAGGAAATCACAAAGAGAGACAGGAAAGACAGAGGCAGAAGAGAGACCAGGACGAGAGCCCAGACGAGAGACACTAGAGAGAGCAGAGTAAAACAGAGAGAGTCTAGAGAGAGAGACCAGACAGAGACAAGAGAGAGACCATAGAGAGCATAGGTCTAGTATAGTAGGAAAAGGGGCAGAGCTACAAGCCTCTGATAGGAGCGTGGATGGGGCTAAACACAGCCTCAGGTCTGTTTGTGCTGTTTCTGCCGCTGTAGCATGGACAGTGAGTGAAGCACCTGTGGTTTCGTCCTCTTCTCTTTTGTTTGTGGTGTGTTCTGATAAAAGTTAATAACGTCTCGCTCGCCCACAGGGACTAGGAGAGATAACGCTACGGTGTCTCTGTGTGGACACTCTTCCCCTGTTTGGACTCGCTCTTATCGCTGCCGCTTGGCTCAAATTAACGCTCTGAATATGAATTTGAGTTTGACAAAGACAAACGTTTGAGATGTGACCTTGTGCCTGCCAAGCAAAGAGACGTGGAGGAAAGACGAAAGTTTAGAAGAGACCAAGAGACAATGAAGCAGTGACTGAAGCAGAGACTGAAGCAGAGACTAGAGCAGAGACTGAAGCAGAGACTGAAGCAGAGACTGAGGCAGAGACTGAAGCAGAGACTGAAGCAGAGACTGAAGCAGAGACTGAGGCAGAGACTGAAGCAGAGACTGAAGCAGAGACTAGAGCAGAGACCAAAGCAAAGCCCAAACTCCCTCTTGCTTGCGCTGTTGTGTCGTCACAATTGAGAAATGTTCAGTTAGGAACTTAGGTCTATATAGTGTAAATTACATATATTCACAAAAGGATTAGTCTCTGCTTCAGTCTCTGCTTCAGTCTCTGCTTCAGTCTCTGCTTCAGTCTCTGCTTCAGTCTCTGCTTCAGTCTCTGCCTCAGTCTCTGCCTCAGTCTCTGCCTCAGTCTCTGCTTCAGTCTCTGCTTCAGTCTCTGCTTCAGCCTCTGCTTCAGTCTCTGGTTTAGGCCCTGTTTAGTCGCTGTGAAATTTTGAAGGCACTCGTTAAATGAATGGGGCCCGTGCCACCTGACACATGTGCAAATGTGTTTTTTCACATTTTCTTGCCCTGTGGCTATTTTGAAACTGCCCATAAATGGCAAAAATGGTGGCACATTAGTTTCAACAGTGGATATAGGCGTGACTACGTCCGTTAATATTTACAGTCAATGGTTTTCACCCCCTGAAACACTGTCTTTGTGTAAACAAAAGGCCAATCCGATATCCAACTCTAACGTTTCACATTATTCTCTACATTTTTTCCGTAATTTACATCCAGAAAGTACAATACTATGTGGATGTCAGGAGCAGAAGCTGAGACAGTGGTTTTAACCTCCTTTTGTTTGGTCCTGTTCCATCCACACATGTCAGACCTCTGGGACCTGGATTATAACTGGATTTGAGGTCTGAGGTGAGATCCATTATGTGTGTCATAACCTACGCTGTAATCCCAGATTCAGACCCTCAAGACCCGAGACAAAAGCCTGAACTGGACTAAAGGGTCCATCTGTAATCCAGGTCTAAATCCAGGTGACCCAGGAACTAATCTCAGAGAAGAGAGCGGGGGGCCGGGGGTACTAAACCTGGACTAAAGTCGGACTGAAGCAGGTCCAAAGCAGCTCTAAAACAGAACTGAAGCAGGACTGAAGTAGGTTTAAAGCAGGACTAAAGCAGGACTAAAGCAAGACTAAGGGTGTATTCAGACCTGCACATTTGCTCCACTTTAAACGAACCAGGATTCGTTTGGAACTCTGATCCGAAGCTTTTATGCAGGTCTGAATACACACAAACGAATCCTGGTCCGGACCAAAGAACCGAACCGAGACCCACTTTTTGAGGTGGTCTTGGTCCGCTTCCAAACGAATTCTGGTCCAAGTCGAATCAGGTCTGAATACATCCGGTGTCGATCCGACACAACTCCAAGATACGTGCGCATTTTTTGGGCTTAACAAGCCGCAGACAGAAACTGAGGAATTAGCCACGCAGCGGCTAACTATGATGCTAACTATGATGCTAACTATGATGCTAACTATGATGCTAACTATGCTGCTAACGCTACACAACAACACTGAGCCGTGTGCAGACCTGGAGCAGTGAGGAGACGCTGTGCAACAGGCTTATGGAGTTAGAACTGTTCACAGTTTACAGTGATGTTAATGGCAGCATCTTCAAACCATTTACATTATTAAAAACCTGACACTGTTTGACTCACGTCTCAAAGAGCAATATTCCGCATCATGTAGTGAATTGTGTTCTTTGGTTCCTACCTGATCCTCAGCGTCTGTTTGTCCCGTGGTTATTATAGATCCATGGTTTATCCACAATGCTGAACAGGGCCGTTATTATCATAGATCCATGTGTGGGACAGGTCACGGAGCGCAGACAGTCTCCTTCGGCTTTCTCCTCACGCATTCTCCGACTTTGTTCCAATATTTAAAACAACGTGTTTGGCCTGTGTCATATGAGCTGCTGTTGATGTTGAAGGTGGTTTTGCTCTAAAAAGAGCAAACATAGTCAGAGCAGACATGCTGCACATACGAGCCCTCAATGTTTTCTGCCGGTTCCGCGTCTATCCTCCGTGAGCTCTCGCTGTCCAATAGGAGCCGATTGTCACACGTGTCGATATGTTTAGATAAAAAAGTTCACTTGCAAAAAGGACAGTCTGAATACAAACCGGAGCAAAAGAAAAAAGTTTGGTCTGCTTTTGATTCGGATCAAGCAAGCGGAGCAAAGGACTTTTCAGGTCTGAATACACCCTAAAGCAGGACTAAAGCAGGACTAAATCAAGACTAAAGCAGGACTAAAGCAGGACTAAAGCAAGACTAAAGCAGGACTAAAGTAAGACTAAAGCAGGACTCCATATTCCCTTCTGCTTCAGTCCTTCTTCAGTCCTGGTCCAGTACAGTCAAGTCCTGCTTTACTCTCTGCTTCAATTTCTGGTCCAGTCCTGATCCAGTCCAGTTCCAGTCCTGGTCCAGTCCTAAAACATTCCTGGTATAAATTTGCCTGTAATCTGTATCTCTTTTCTGATCTGGTTTCAAACTCGCAGCAGTTAACCCCCCTGACCCGCCCCACTGTTCAGTAAATCTCTCAACAAAAGTCTGAGTCCAGAGTCCGGGTTTAGAACAGATAAACCGGTCCCAGTCCAAACCAGACCCCTGGGCCGCACTGCATTATGGGAAACCGATAAGGAGACAATGGAGCGCGATATCACTGTTTGTTATGGAAATGTGAAAAGAGAAAGAAGACGAGAGAGATGAGAGCAGGGATTAAGGGACTAAAGCAGGACTAAAGCAGGACTAACTAAGGTTTAAAGCAGAACTAAAGCAGGACTAAAGCAGGTCTAAAGCAGGACTAAAGCAGGACTAAAGCAAGACTAAAGCAGGTCTAAAGCCGGACTAAAAAGTAAACTGCTGTAAAACTAAAGCAGGAGCAAAACAGGGAGGGCTGAGAGCTGATTGGCTGAATGAGGGTGGTCTTTCTCTTTTTCTATTTTCTGTCTGATCCAAAGATGTGACAGAGGCCAAAGTCATGAAGCTAGGAGCCGGAGACAGGTTCATTACAGAGTTCTACGGTTGTGGTTTGAAAGTTACATCACCAATCTTTAATTTCCAGTGTAACTATTCCCTCAAGATCCGCTGAATGAACACAGCTGCGTCATATGTGTTGTTAGGAATAATATTCACATAATCCTGGTTTGTTTGGTTAAATAAATGCGCATCAAACCTCTGGAGGGAGATGCAGACAAAGGACGCTGGAGGCTCGGTCAAGGTCAGAGCGTCCCACTGGCCTCACTGCTTAATTGGACAGAAATTTGTTTTGTTTGAACTAAAGTCGAGCTCTGCACAGGTCCCTGAACGCACCGCGATGTGTGCAGAATGTTAGAGTGCAGAGGTCTGAGCCAGAGATTGTGTAGAGATGCACAATGCTAACACAGACTGTATAACATAGACAGTAAATATTAACGGCTGTAGTCACGCTGATCTTCATTGTTGAAAATAATAAGCCGGCAATATCCCCATTCATTTAACGAGTGCCTTCCAAAGTCTACAGCAGCTAAACTAGAATGGTCCAAAGACATATTCTCTCCTCAGCAATGACACACATCTTTTGGACCATCCTGTAAAGCCGTTTGGAGAGGAAAGAAGACACCATACGAAAATATTGAATAACTCTCTTTCTGGGTCCGCCCAAACCGGCCCGGAGTGGGATTGCAAGTATGTCAGAGCACGTATGGACGTTTTTGAGCCAGGACCATGGATCTATAATCATATCTGGATAGGGTATTACTAGCTAATAGCTAAAGAGCTAAATATACACTTTAATGCAACAAACTCTGTTGGTTTTCTTCCCGCACTAACTCAACTCTACTGCTGCTCTGATTAGCAGCTACTGATTGGTCAGAGCGCAGCAGAGCCCCTCTGTGCACGTGCATGAGAGCCCCACACGCATATTTGGCGCAAAGCATCATGGGATCTCGTCCACTGCGCAGAACCGGGAGGACCAGACAATGCCCAAATATGGGCAAGTTCTACTAATCTTTTGGTCCTCATGGCTGTCCAATGTGCTACTGAGCACAATACATCTTGGATCACCGGGGCTTGGCTGGGA